GTTTCGTAATGAGAACTAATATTATGAACGATTTTCAATACAGCTTGTGAATAAAGTAAGGAGGAGGAATGCAAGTAAACCAATCAATAGCTTAGTGAATAAATGTATAGTCAGCAATAAATAGCTGTGAATTTGTTTATGGATGTGTCACTGAAGGGCATTTTAGTGGATAGTTGAATCAATCAATGAAATTATATGTGTATAAAAATGCTTATAAACCTATAAATTGTCTAATGGCAATAAACGGCGACAATTTTTCTGTTTTTAAAATAATTTTGACCAAAATGACGAAATATTAAATGCAAAATAAGACAAAAATTTTGAACGAAAATGAAATCTCAAATATAATTGATTTTGATAAGTCTGAAAAACTGTTTGTTCGCCGCGGCTATAGCACGAAAAAATAAATTTTAATGTTTATGCTTATGTATTTGTGTGTCATTTAACATTATACTCAATAAAAATTAACTGTAAGCATTTATTCTACAATACGTGAGGTAATATTCTCATTAATTAAACTAACGGCTTTATTTTTAGCCATGAATGTATTAATTGTCATTCCTCGTGCTCATATACTTCCTAATTGAGCACTTAGGGTTAATTTAGAAAAAAAAGATCTAGAATGAAAAAGCAATTTTCTTCAGCGTTATGACATTACCGGCGAAAAAGATCAAAATATTATTAAAAAAAATCAGTTTTTTTTCTTCTTTTAAAATTAAGTTTTAAGGGCGCCTTTTTCAGTATCGTCCGGGGTGCGAAAACTTCTTCANATATATATAAATAAACAGGAGAAAACAACTTTACAAAAGCGGAATGATATAAAACAAAACTTTTGTTGAAAAATCCCTCTGCTTTCTTCCCTTTTTGTAAATAAACTTCAAGGACGATTACTGCCACACTTCCCCCATTGTGTGTTATTTTTCGAAAAGGGGGTAGAATCTCTAACTCGTTTCACGCTTAGAGGTTTCACGGTGAACTCGGGCGTTTTCGGTAGTCTAGCCTACGAGTCGTCTCGGGCGTTAAGGGCGCCTTTTTCAGTATCGTCCGGGGTGCGAAAACTTCTTCATATGTTTACCCAGAATGTTACTACCATAATAAACTATAAGGTACCTATATTCATAGATAAAAGTCTAATGAAATTTATATTGATAATGTTCAAAATATTTAAAATTTAGTTTAATATAAGTGTTTTTTAAGTTTATTTTTTCATTTAGAATTTTAAGTTATGAAGCAAAAATATTGTATTTATAAATAAACGAAAGTAATTCTTATTTAGCCTCCATCTGAATCTTTTTTTTCTACTTTTATTTCAAAAATGAAATCACTTGCATTGAAATGTCTTTAAAGATATTTCATTTAAACAAATAGACAGTTAGTGCTCAATGAGAAAGAATTTGAATTCATTCTCTAAGGACCTCTCGTATAATTGGAAAATTTAAATTAACTTATTTTACTTAAATATAAAATTTTTATGGACGAGTTGTTTTAGCTCTAGTCTTCTTTGTTCTTTAAACATTTATTTAACTTTGTGATTTTTTTTTTAAACCTTAAGAGTTCATTGCAAATATTTCTTAACACGAGAGCGAGAAAGCCGTGGAAATTCAATGCGCAATAATTAATGTGTTTCATAATTAAATCATTTTATGATAAAACTGTGCTAAACAATAAATATTATAATAAAAAAACCATTAAAAAGACAATTATTTAAATGTTTTAAGAAATTCTTCTATGCAAGAAGTTTCGTAATGAGAATCTTAACAAATGTTATTAGAATTCTCTTGCATCAATGAAGTAAACACTATACACATAAAGGGGTAAAAATTCAATATTTAAACCATTAATAAACAAAAACGCAATGGAATCAAACGAATCATTGAGAGAGACAGAACAGAAATCTTTCCTCATAAATTGTTTGTTAAATTTTGATAGCGTTTTCATTTTTCATGTCTAAATATCAATTGACGATCTAATGTAAGTATTTTTTTAATTTTATTTTTAATAAGATATATAAAAGTATATGCCACGAGGGACCGCATAGTGGAGAAAGAAGAAGAATAATCGCCAGGTTCCAAATTTTTCATCAGGTGCTCCATAACGATGTGGCGTAAAAAGATTTTACCTAAGATTGATCTCTTGATCAGGAACTTATACTATACTCGGTGAAGACATCTCACGGGACCGCATGCGTAAGTGATTCACAGGAAACAATGAACAATATCTTATCCTTTCTTTATTTCGTCAGGAATCAAAGTTCAGACATAATAAAAATTCATGACAAATTCATCAATTAAAATTCCAACACATCCGCGTGTCGAGTCCTCCCTGTGTGCTTCAGGGAGTAAAATATTAAATTTATGTAATCAGCATATTTGAGACATCTGCAGTTAAAATTTACGAAATAGATTATTTGCAATTTGTTGAATTTATGGAATTGAAAAAGTAAAATTATATATGAATTATTACGAACTTGAAGCACACAGGGGGAAAATCAAAAATGCCGCCCAAAAAAAGGAAGCAGCACGCTCGAGAGTTCCACGGGAAATACTTGTCTATCTCCAAAAGATAGCGTCCCCTCCTTAGCGGCTGCGGGAATCTCTAAAGACGAGTTAGGAGTCGAGCCCTAGAGATCCTGCAAAGGCAACGAAGAGGGCGCTCCTGTTGGAGACAGCCCAGTAGGTATTGGGAAAAGTAAATATTGTGGTGATCCCATGATCACACCACAAATTCCCCCCTTGAATAGGAAAAAGACTATTTACCTCCCCTTTAATGAAAATAATTAAATTTAAATTACCCCATTAAAATGTAAAAGTTAAATTCAAAAAATTAAGTTACTGTTAAAATCATCAAATGCGAATCATGAAGATAAAAAATCATCATACATATCATGTTTTACATAAAAAAATCTTGACTAATCATATACATTAAATAGATGTTGAGCTACATAAGTGTCCTCAGTAAAAGACAATTTGGCTGGTGCCCTGATTGTTGTTGTTGTTGTTAATTTACGTCGCACTAGAGCTGCACAATGGGCTATTGGCGACGGTCAGTGAAACATCCCGGAGGATGATCCGAAGACATGCCATCACAATTTTGATCCTCTGCGGAGGGGATGGCAAGCCCGCTTCGGTAGCCCAACGACCTGCGCGCGAAGTCGAGCACTTAACGGTAGCACAGTTTAACGAGGACCAAAACCGCACACCCTAGGTTCCTACGCAAACTGATCCAAGTGGTCACCCACCCGCACACTGACCGTAGCCAGTGATGCTTGACTTCGGTGATCTGCTGGGAACCGTGTCTTAACGATCAGTCCTCTGCGGGACGGCTGGTGCCCTGAAAAAAAGAGTTCAATTGTCCTGATGGCCAATTATACAAGAATTGCTTTTTTTTCTTGAAATTCAAATCATAATTGGTCAGATCACAAGGTGAGGTTAAACCTCCGACGAAAAGTAAAATGGCATTGCAAGTATGAGTAAATATCACATATAATAACACCTTTCACACATTAAATGCACTTTTCACTGTAAGTTAATCAAATACATTTTCCGCACTTGGGAATAACTTCAAAAACTCTCATTATAAGTCGTTCAATCATACTAAAACAATTTGGAATAACTTTAAAACTTTAAATTTTATCACAATTTGGAATTACCTTTAAAAACTCTCATTGGAAGTCATTCAAATACATTTTTGTCACCTTATGGAATAACTCTAAAAACCTAGGAAAAAATGTTAATTCCATAAAATTTAATTTTTTTTTGACAAATATAAATTTTAATAATGAAATTCTAAAATTCATGACAAGAAAGTCAAATAGAAATGCTTATGTATTATTAATTATGACCATCATTCTTAAATGTTTGTAGTTATGTAGCTAAAATAAATGAGAAAAAAAAACTTGGATAAATAAATATAACCAAAAAAGTGAATACGTGTGAGTATTCAGTGTGATAATCAAAATTCAATAGTGGTATTCAATTTTCTCTTAAAAGAACTTAAAATTTTAATTTGTTTGTAAAGCACAAACATTTTTCTTCATATATGTAAAAATTACCATTTCTAAGAGAAATATCATACGTAAAAAGGAATGACCATGTTAATCCAGTACATGCAACACATTTTCATACCTTGTAAAAACATGTCTGATTATTTCAACAAATGATCAATAAATCATATTAAATAAATTCAATAAATCATAGTAGATATATCCAGTAAAGGTCAAATATGCAATTATATCAACATTAAACAGTTTTGATTCATCTGCCACGTTAAAAATACCCAATCGTTAAATTGAGAAAAAAATCAGCACAGTGAAATAAATTAGTACTTAGTAACTGTAAGTATTTTTAACAATTTTTTTTGGAAAGTTAGTTAAATTTAACTTTAATTCCTTAAATACTGTTGAATGAAATAGTTATATAATGTTAATTGAGTTTGATAATGCACAGAGTTTGATAATGTCCACACAGCCACTTACAAGAAAGTATTGCTGTCACCCACAAAAATATTTATTATATTTTTTTTGTATGATTATATATAAACACATCATTTTCAAATAAAATATTGTTTTGTAAAGAACAGTTGCGCACCTGTTCACTATTGCCAGCAATAGAAACCAACAATATTTCACAAGAAAATAATCCATAATTATTTATTTATTTGCTTACTTAGCTAATTAACCAAAATATGGAATCTCATGCATGACAGCAATTTTTATTAAAATTATTTTAATCTTATCGTACTCGAAGGTTATATCCATGAAGTGGATTATTAATTGGTGGGCTCGTAGAATAATTAAGATCTAAATGAGAAAGTCGGCGGGGTGCACGTCTTAATCTATCACTATGTATTACAAAACCTTTATGAGAAGGTGAGTCTAAAGGTCTTATTTTAAAATTTACATCACTTTGCTTCTTCACTATGACACAATTGCCCAAAAATTAAGGTTTAAAAGTATCATTTGATCTCATGTACACATAATCGTTTACATTAAAGTTTCGAAGTTAAGCTTTTTGCATTTGTTTTTGCTTTTGTAAAATCTGCTGCTCTTTCAGTTTATTAAATGCTATATCATAAGTTATCCTTAAATCTGATATGAAATTTTGACGGAAAGAGGCCTTGTCAAGTTGTTGAGGCTCTACATTTGGATCAAAAGTATCGAACATAGTGGGAGGGCATCTACCAAAATGTACAGGTTCAAAACTAGTGCTTGGATGAACAGCATTATTGTACACATTTTGATGAATAAGTAATGAATTCTTAAACGATACATCTTCTTCATGCAAAGTCAAAAAAGATGATTTAATGGCACGATTCAAAGATTCGGTGGCACCATTAGCTTGTGGATGTTTCGAAGAAGTATGGGTCAAGAATATGCCTAAAGTTTTATTGATGCAATGAAATACCTCTGAATTAAACTGTGTGCCTAAATCTGTCAAAATCATGGCTGGTCTACCAAGTATCGATATATATTCAATTAGATGCTGTCATACAGTCTCGGTAGTTAAATTTCTGAAAGGGTATAAAGTCAGAAATTTGGAAAAATGATCCAACACGGTTAATGTATAACCACAATTTTTAACGGGGCCCACTATATCAATTGAAATAAATTCTCCTGGGACTTTAGGGATGGGAACATTCTGTAAAGGTGCTTTGGGAATGCTGTAGGATTTGTTGCGTATACATGAGTCACAGGATAAAACAAAGTTTCTTGTATCATTATACATATTTTTCCAAAAGAAATTTTTCTGAACAATTTCGTATGTTTTCTCTAAGCCAAAATGTGAGATATGAATAATTTTTAATACCTTACTCTGTAATGATTTTGGAACAACAATTAACTTAACTAATCTTTTTTTGTTTGTAATATACATTAATAGTTTAGTATCGGGATCAACAGTAAAATTTTTAACTTTATGTGCATTAATCAAAGAAGGTGACTCAAGCAGATCAATAATGTCATTTATATTTGGATCTTTCCTTTGCTCTTCATAAAAGGTGTTGTTAGATATTTCATTTTGAGGGTCCTGTTTTTGAATAATATTTACAGCTTCCAATTCTATATCTTGATCAACAAAAGGAAGTATTAGCTCATTATTTTGGGACTGTAAAGCAGGAGCACAATTATTAGGATTTTCTCTTCGAGAAAAGTAATCAGAAAGAAAATTAATTTTTCCAGGAATATATTTCATTTCAGAGGAATATTCGGACAGTTCTAATAGCCAACGAGTAATTAAATTTGCAGGTGAAGTAATTTTCTTACAATGGAGCAGGGGCTTGGAGTCTGTTAAATTGTAAATTTTCGGTTATAAAGATAATCCTTAAAAGATGTTGCAGATTTATAAATGGCATAGAGCTCTAATTTAATTGCCGGATAATTTTGTTCAGCCTTAGAGAGTGCTCTACTATAATATGAGATGGGATGAAGGACACTATCAAATTCTTGTAAAAGAACACCTGAAATTGCCTGTTTACTGGCTTAGTGTTCAAGAGGAAAGGTTTATCCCATGGAGGGAAATTGACAAAAGGTTCGGAAAAAGATACTTGTTGAAGAGATTTAAAGGCATCTTGATGTTCTTTCATCCATACAAATTTTGATTTACTAGCACTGAGTTTACATAAAATATCAATTATCTCTGCATATTTGGGAATTAGGTGGCGGTAGAAACCGCAGACTCCTAAGAATGATTTAACTTAGTCATGATTCTTAGGTGGTTCAAATTTCATTATTTTTGCAATGTTAGTGGAAATAGGTTTAACAATTTTATGGGAAATATTAAATCCTAAATAATTAGTATTAGTTTTAAAGAATTCAGATTTACTAGGGGATAAAGTTAAGTTGTACTTGATAAAAATATCCAACACAGCTTGAACTTTTTTCAGCATGTCTTCAAATGAATTAGCTCCAATAATTATATCATCCTGATCCGAAAATATGCCAGTGATTCCTATATTCTTTAATTCATCTATAATAGTGTCTATCATAGCCTGAAATATACTGGCAGCTGTTTTTAAGCCATAGACCAGTCTTTTGCTACCAAAAATTCCGAAAGGTGCGGTAAATGTGAGAATATCTTTAAGATCCTCTGAGATTTTTAATTGTTGATATGCGTGGGGCATGTCCATGGTAGAAAAAAATTGAAACTCTGATACTTCATTAATTATTGTTGAAATGCAGGGTAAGGGATGGGTTGCAGAGTCTATAATGGTATTTATCAAACGTAGGTCAAGGGCTAGTCTATAGGTGCATTACCCAAGTAGCACAGGGACATAGTAACAGCTTTAGTCTATATCGACCGACATTGTCAATATTGGCGAAAATCGAAATTGTGTGTACGATATTGTACGATTGCCGTCGATTTCACATTAAAAATCTGTTTGTAAAACTTTTTATTTAAAACTTTATTGTGTTCTTAAATCAAAATTAATCATTTAAAAGACAAAAAATGACGTCAAATTGTTATAATTCCAAAAAATAAATTTAAAATATAAATTTAGAGATATCCGAACAACATCCGGACAATATTTGACCGACAAAAACATATTATTAAGTGATATCAGGTAACTAGTTTGGTTTGCATCGTTTTGAAAAAAATCTTTGAGATATTTACAAGTTGACTCAAAGTTTGCATTAATAAATTTAGGATTATTGGCCACAAAATCTTGAGCAACCTGTAATCCTGTAATTTTCCTTTCCATAAAAGTAAAGCAACCTCCTCCGACCAGCCGAGCAATGTTTTCATCTGGCAAATTTGCTCCAGAAGCCAAGCAATAGATTCATCTCCAGAAAAAGACTGTATATTTAGATTAAAATTTTCAGCGTCGGTCATTGCTTGGGCTCTAGTGCGCATCAAAATGAAATACAATAACAAAAGACAATTAAATATTTAGGTTTTGCCAAATGAAAATGCCTTCATAACAAAACAGTTATCTATATAGAATTTATAATGAAGTACATTGAATATAAGAATTTAAAGATGTAAAATTATAATTGAACAATACATATTAGTTTGTTTTAAATCAACGAACTATTTACCATATTAATTTAATTTTTATGAAACTAATATTAAATATTTCACAATACCCAAACATTATATTTAAATTTAAATGGTTGAAAAAAATATTGTAGTCAATAAAATGCAGTAAATATCAAACATATCACTAAATATATAAAATATTATATTACTAAATCTGTGAATCAATTATGAACAAAAAATATCATCGCTCGATCCTAATCATACTCACTATTGTGAAACAACTTTGCAGTCAACTATATTGATCTTTCACACAAATTTTTCACTCACGTGAGACAAAACAATGAACTACTCTTCATCCTTAGTCTCTTTGCATCATAATAATGTTGAAATTATTTAAAAAAAATTCAGGAACACTTATGGACGGAAAATCGATGACGATTTCACTGTATCTTTCTGCCAGGAAGATTCAGAACACGCGAAGTCACTATACACACAATCTTTAGACACAATCATTACACCTTCCGTTATTTATTCATATAATTTTCGCATGCTGTAACATCACGGGAACACCAAATATCATCTAGGTCAGTGGTGCGCAAACTTTTTTCGACTGCGACCCCTCTTGTAGAGAGAATATTTTTGGCGACCCCTAGATAAATGTTCACAAATACGATGTATATTTCGCGCATTTCTTTCGTTTCATCGAATAAAAACATCATCATATTTGATTCATAATAATTTTATTTATAATTTTAAGAAAATACTTTTTGTAAGAAAATACTTATAACACAAAAATCAGTAAATTGCCTTTAATGAGATGTATGTGGCCTGCAAGTTTCTAATTATCTCATCGATGTTTGGATGTATGTTGCTAATTGCAATTCGCATATCATCTTCAGGGATCGAATAAAAACTAAATACACGAGCGGTATTTAGTTTTTATTGAAACTAGTTTGCTAAATCCAGTTTCACATAAATACGTTGATGCAAATTGTATTAACACTCTGATGGCATTCTTGCATAAAACGGAATATTGTTTTTCCACGGATAGCCAAAAGTTTTGGCAAGGCTGAGTCTTAAATTGATTTCGAAGAGTATAATCACTAATTAGATCTATCAATTGCTGTTTCTCACTAATTTGAAGAGTTGAACTGCATATGTCAAAGGAAAATGGATCACGAATCCAACCAAGATCATTTTCAAGAAAATCCTCGAAACTTTTTTCTTTAACTTTTCAATGTGATTGGAAATGATGTTTTTAAATGTAAATATATCTATATTATTTTCCTTGATAAAATCGTTAAAGCAAGGGAACATGTTGGTGTTGTTTTTATTCAGTTCAGTTTGCCAGAGACTAAACTTATTCTTAAAAGCTTGAATTTTACTGGCTGTAGTTATGATAGTTGAATTCTCACTCTGCAAGCTCAAATTTAAGTCGTTAAGTTTTTCGAAAATATCAACTAAATAGCTCAGCTTCCCTAGCCAAACTTCATTGATATAATAACTTGCCAATCTATGTTTCCTTTTGATTAAAAACATGTACACTTCATTTCTCAAATCAAATATCCGTCGTAGTATTTTCCTACGTGAAAGCCATCTGACTTTGGTGTGTAACAGTAATCTCTCATACGTTGAGCCCATCTCATTGCAAAGTATTGAAAAGAGACCGCTGTTGTGGCTGTTGCATTTAATGTAGTTAATTGAACTAACAGCGTCTTGTAATACGTTGTGCAACTCTTCATCCATATCTTTTGCAACAAGAACTGGCCGATGAATCATACAGTGATTAAATACCATATGAGGCGCCAACTTCTGAATTAAGCCCCTGAGCCCTTTATTCGAACCTGTTAATGCTGCAGCACCATCAGTACAAACCGCAACACAGTTTGCCCAGGTAAGGGACTTTGTTTCAAAATATTCATTTATTACTTCGAATATTTTTTCTCCAGTTGTTTTTCCTTCCAAATTTTTGCAACATAAAAACGTTTCTGTTATATGTTCATTAAAAATAAACCTAACGTAAATAATTAGTTGTGACATTTTAGTAATATCGGTAGTCTCGTCCAGTTGTAAAGCAAATACAGATGAATTTTGTATGCGTTTTATGACTTCTGACTCGATATTTCGTGACATTTCGGAAATCCGCCGAGACACGGTATCTCTTGATAATGATAGTGTTTTTAGTTCATTTCCATATTTATCGCCATGCATAATTGATGTCATCTTAGTTGCTGCAGGAAGGATAAGGAATTCTCCAATTGTATGGGGTTTCATTGTTTTTCCTATTAGATAAGAAGCTTTTAAAGAAGCTCGTAATGCTTTCTGAGGTATTGTTGTAAATTTCTTTAAATGTGCACTTTGAGTTTTCAGATTTTCAGCTCGTCTTTGAAAAAAAATCGGTTGAAAAAAATCTGCTGGTTGAAAAAAATCGGCATGTTTATTTTGAAGTTCTTTATGTTTAGTTTCCA